TCCTCTGCCCCAGCCGGGGGTGCCATGTGGGGGACGGGGAGGGACGACGGCCAGGCCCTGGGCCTGTCTGTGTCTGGTCCTCCCCCGACCCCGGGTCAGCCCAAAGGGGGCTTCCCAGTGGAGGGGCCCCAGGGTGCAGGGTCCCGGGAGTGTGAGGAAGGGGCCCAGTGAGAAACCAGCTGGGCCTGGGGGCGGGGTGCCTGCAGGGGCTTGGGCTCAGCTCCCTGGGACAGTGTGAGGGACACACAGCGTCTCTGGGCCTGAAGGCAGCCAGGCCTGGGCCAGGACTCGCCGGCTCGTCTTGTGGACATTTGGGCGATTGCCCGGCCCTCCTTGCGCCCCAGACGTCCTCGTCTACCGTGTGGCTCTCTCTGAACCCCCAAGACCCCTCCGCCTTTGTGTCCCACACTCAGTCCCAGTCCAGATCCCCAAGGCCAGCCTGACCCGGGCGTTGTGCATGGGCAGAGTGGGGGAACCCTGAAGTGGAGAGAAGACCGTCAGCCGGCCTGAGCGCAGCACAGATGTCCACGGCACGTGTAGCGGCCGCTGACCCGGCGTACTGGGTTGGGGGCTGTTCCAGTTCCCTGTGGCTTATCCACATGTGTCCTCAGTGCCTGGAATGCCTCATCTCCAAACAGGCAGGAGGTTAGCACTGTGGTCGGCCTCCTTGGGGAACAGTATCCCCTTCCCTGGCCACAGCGGACGGGTCCCCGGGGTCAGGCCTGGAGGCACGTGGTGGGCAGGGCAGGGGTCTGAGTCCGGGTTGCTTTGCCCCAGGCAGCTTCGCTCTGTCCCTCCCTCCTCCTCTCCCTTGGCTTGCCCGGGATCCCCGCTCTGCCAGGCTAGAGTCAGACACCCGCGGACAGCCCAGCCAGAGCTCTACCCGGTCCCAGGAAGGGCCACTCTGTCTGTGACTGGCGCCCAGGAGGCCGAGCAGGGAAGGCTGTGAGAGTGGGGAGCAGGTTTCTGGTGGATGGCTTTGGAGAGGAGAAAGGATTTTAAGAATGTTTTCTTCTTGGCTTATCAGTTATCTCCTGCCAACAGTGGGGCCGGGGCTGGGAGTGGTGTCGGTGTCTTTGGCATCTTCAGGCTGGGCTTGGTTTTTGCTGCTGGCGGAATTAGGGTCCTTGTGCGTGGCGTGATCCCAGTGTGCAGCCTGCGTTTTTATGTTTCCAGCCACTTTATGATTTTGACCAGTGCTGAGGAGGGTTTCTGTTGAACCACCTTTGGGCCAAAGGTCTTGAAAGGCATTGCCCAGCGGGCTCTCACGTGACAAGGGAGTTTGGGTTGCAGCGACACGTCTGGAGGGCCCCTTTCTCGAACATGCCTGCCGTGGAAGCAGAGCCCTGAAAGCCACTTTGTTTTCTGTGAATTTGGCTTCCCCGGGAGGCGGGCCTGCACGTTCCCTGCCCCACACAGCCAAGGTCCCCCTGCTCGTCTGGGCTGCCTTCCCCGGGCGCTCCCCTGCCGGGTCAGGGGCTGCTCATCTCGGCCCAGGGACACCTGCCATCCTTATTCCTGTCCTGGATCCCCGGGCTTTTGAGGCTCGAGGGGGTTCGTGTGGAGGGTGGGCTGGCAGCCGCGTGGAGCCTCCGGTGCGTGCGGGGGTGCAGCAGGTCGGGCCGAGACCGACACGCCCCTCCATCCTCACCATCTTGGTGGCCTGGCCGGGCCGAAGGTGGGTGGTCTCTCCCCAACGGCTCTCCTGTGCAAACCGCAGCACTGATCAAGGAAGCTGGTTCCCGTCCCGTTTTATATGTCTGAAAGTTTACAGGTTGTGGTGCATCAGCCCAAAGTCATTGGCGTTGTTGTGTTTTTGGATTCTTTTTCCTTAATTTTCAGATTTTTTTTTAACAAAGTATTTTTTTAGGTGTGATAACCCAGAAAGGGCCCGTTGGGGGTGTGTGTGTGTCCTGAACTCCTCACACTGAGATCATGTGGAGCCCGACCCCCCTGGAGAGGAGGGAAGGGTCCCGCCCGCCCAGGGGGTCTGAGCTGGAGGCTGTGGGGGGTGTGAACCCCACCCACCCAGGCTCAGCATCGCCCAGCTGAGAGAGGCCGGCCCCTTGCCCAGGCTGGAGAATGGGATTGGGAAAGGGGGGTGCTGGGCTGGCGCCGGGCCAGGGGCACTTGGGCAAGTCAGGAGGTCCCGGCTGGGTGTCCAGCAGAGGCAGGGGGCGCGCTTTGGAAGCTGAGCTCCCTGCCGTGTCCAGTCTGTGCCCGTGGGAGGCTGGACAGAGCCCGTAGCCGACACAATCACCTTTACTTTGTACTCTGTGTGTATGTTTTGGTTTTCTGTGTTTTAATAAATCCTTTGGGAAAGGATTGAATCCAAGAGCTTTTTAAAGATTCTTATGGATTTAGGATGGGGTGAGGGTATCTCCTGAGGCTTATCTCCCCGGGCAGTTATGTTTCAGGGGCTCAGGGGTGCACTGGGAAGGAGGGGGGCTCTAATCAGGGGTGTGCTGGGCAGAGCCCCTGTTACCTGCACCCCGAAATACACCAGGACAGCACCCGGCCTCTGTCATGGTGAGAGCAGCAGCCAGATGGGTGCCCTGAGGGCACAGCAGCCTCCCAGCAACCAGCTTTGGGCCCTCGGAGGTGACCAAAGAGAATGTGCATGCTGGGGGGGGCAGGGGAGGTACCCTCGCCCCCGTGGGCCCTGGGCAGAATCACTTGGGAGGTGGGAGCTGATCTCCTGAGCACCCTGTCCCCACCCTCTGCCTCTCCTGCAGACCCTTTTGTCCCAGGCTCAGGTTTCGGGAAGCCCCGTGGTCGGCAGTCCTTCCGTCCCCTCCCAAGGTGACCCTGACCCATCCCTGCCCCAAGGAAATGTGAGCAGAAAGGCGTGGAGACCGAGGGGCTTGGGCTTTATTTTGTCATTCCATGGATACGGTGGCTGTCTCGGTCTGAGTCTCCTTTGGAAGCTTGAGGCATGTGGCAGTCTCTGCCTAGGTGGGAAATGCAATCAGCTGAGGAACCACAGTCATTAAAAAAAAGAGGGGGAGAGAAGCACATTATTTACATGACTGGACGAGGATGGAAGACGGAGGACGGCCCTGTCATTCCTGGGGACCTGGGGTTCGACCATGGGTTGGGTGAGATAGTGGACCCAGCTGGGGCCAGTGCTGCCCTCCCAGGCTCTGACTGCCCATGGTCTTCCTCCTCCTCCGACGGTCACATCCGACACCTCTCCCCCATCCCACCCCTCCTGAGCTGGGGGACCTGCCCCCAGGAAGCAGAGCCCCTGCCTGCCCCGTTAGTGGGCGTGGAAGAGGTCACCCCCGAACCCGCTTGCGGGAAGTGCTGGGCTGGGAGGCTGCCTGGGTCCTGGTGCCGGGCACTTGGGCCTTGGCAGAGCTCACCCTGGGGCTCTTGTCCCCCTGTGTGTGGCAAACACACAGCCAGCAGGGGATCCACTCTCCTAGGGTGGCTCACGGGGAGCAGCAGCCCCACCCGGGCACTCACACGGCCTGGCCCATCTTCTAACAGTGGCCGGGGCCCGGGGCAGCTGTGCAGACGGGGACCAGCCACTTCCCTGCCGGCGAGGGGAGGGCCATCTGGTCCTTCGGCAGCAGCTGCCCCTGCAGGGCTGTCCTGGGAGCAGGCACCTGAGTCCCCAATGGTGCCACAGGCTGAGACCTCTGCTGGGGAGCATGGTCGCCCCGACACCCCCAGGGCTGCCCTGGTGAAGCCTGCGGCAAGTCTTGGTGGAGGAGACCCCCAGGGGCTTGGTCTAGGAGGAGGGCCAAGGTTCTGGACTGCAGGGTCAGCAGGAAGGTGGGTCGGGAAAGGAGGAAGCCGTTCCCCTCCCCGCCCTCTCCCCGGCCTCCCCCCTGCATCTGTGGCTCTCACAGCAGTTTCCCAGGCCTCAGCCTGGCCAGGACTGGACAGGGAGGGGCCTGCTCAGATCGGCAGCTCCTCCGGGGGCAAAGCAGGAACAGATGTGCCTACGCCAGAGGGACACGCTGAGGCAGGAGGCACAGGGTCCCCTGTGGAGCCAGCAGGCAAAGGGTGCGGTAGAGGTGGGTTCTGCCCCCATGTAGCCCACAAAGGACCACAAGACTGGGCCTCCAGGCCACCCTCACCTGCAGGCTTGCTGGCGTCACCATCCCCCCAGCCCCAGGCTGCACAGGGGCTGACTTGGGCCTGTCCTGCCCTCCCTCCATCTCCCCAGCTGTTCCAGGTGGGGGGTGGTATGGAAGGGACGGGCCAGCCCCGGCCCTCTCTCCAGGGAGAGGTTCCCTGAGGTCTTTCCCTACTTTGTAGGGCTGCTACTGGGGGTACCACCCCAGCCACTGGGCAGGAAGCTCAGAGAACCCCAGGGACCTTCCTTTACCGGAAGGGTCTAAGCATCTTCTCTCTGCAAAACCCAAGCTCACCACCCCGGTGCATAGCAGAGGCCTGGGGTCGGGTGGTTTTAGAGGAGGGTCTCTGCGGACCAAGAGGAGCATGTCCTTGTGCACATGGGCCCTGCCTGTTGCCACCTGCCCATGTGCAGTCAGCAGCCACGGTCCAGCTCGGAGTGCACAGCCACAGGGCCTGCCGGGGCAAGGACAGAGGGGCCCATTCCTCTGGGCCCCTCCCGAGCGCTCCAGGCCTCCCTGGCCTGGGCTCCTCAGTGGTGCAGGGAGGAGGACTGTGGGGTTAGCAATCTGAGCCCTGAACTTTTGTGGGTCCCAAACCACATAGCCACTCCCTCTGGGGTCCCTGCCCCTGCCAATGAGGGTGGGGGGGGGCCCAAGGCCAGCTGGGTCGGTGTGCCCCTGCCGAGGCCCAGTGGGCAGGTCAGGGCACAGAAGGACAGGGGAGGAATCGGGTCCGGGCCCCCAGAAAGTACCTGGAGCCCTTGGGAAGAGGGAGGTTGAGGAAGACCCCTAGTGGGGAGGTCCCACCCAATGACCAGGGTCCTGGCAGAGGAGGCCCCAGAAGGGGCAGACCTCTCTTCCCCTCCCCCAACACCAGGCAGGGGGTCTTGGCAGAGGAGAGGCTGGCCCTGCCCACCCAGAAGACCCAACCAGGCCTTGGCCTGGCCTTGACTTCGGGAATCGCCATGAAGGGCCGAGGGTGGGAGACAGCTGGGTGGTCTTTTCTGGGAGGATGAGCAGAAGCGACCGGCTTGGGTGGGACTGCTTGAACGTCCTTCCTAACCAATGCTTCTCGGGCACAAATCCAGCTTCCACGTGGTCTGGCGAAGCAGTGGGTGGTGTCTGGCAGCGACGTGGGAGATCATTTCCCGATGACATCACGGCGAGTGTTTTCTCTTTGATGCAAACCACACTCTTCACTTGGCTTCAGAACAGCTTAAGCAAGCGAACAAAGACTAGGAGGGAGACGGGGACTGTCTGAGCAGGCGGGCAGGGCGTCTTAGGATCTGTAGTCCTTTTTGCTGTAGGGTTTATTGCCCAAAATACTATCGATCTCGTGGATAATGGAAGACGACAGTTTTGGAAGGACCTGCGTGCAAGGACAAAACAAATCAGAACTCTCCACCAAGGTCGCCTGGCTGGTGGGGGGGGTGGGGTGACGTCACTCCAGACCTGCTGCTGGCCGGGACCGTCCCCACCCGTCACATCTGGCTCCATCCAAAGCAGACAGAGGCCATGCTGCTTTGCCTTCCCAAATCTGGCCCCACTGAGCAGGTAGAGAGGAGGCGTCTTTGAAAGCTTTGTTGGACCAAGCCTCTCCTCAGCTCCAAATCGTGCCCGGCTCCCATCCCACTCGGAAGAAACATGCCCGTCCCTGCCCTTAGGGATCTGCCCCTGCCCGGGCCTTGGCAGTAGCTGCTGCTGCCGGAGCCTCCCCCACCTGGCGTGTGCACAGCTCACTCCACAGCTCCCCGAGCCTTTGCTCAAACGCCACGTTCTCAACAAGCCCAGCTGACAGCTCCCCTTAAACCTGGGTCCCTGGCACCACCTCCCCCTGCCCCCAGCTCCCTTTCTCATCTCCCCATCTCTGGCGTTTTTCCTCTAGAGCTTGTCACCTTCCAATGCCTGCTTCAACTTCCTTCCTCCCAGCATCCAGTGTACACCTGTCCCTGCTGGAAAGCGAGCTCTCCAGAAGCAGGGCCCCCTGATGGTTCGTGGGTGTGTCCCGGCCGTCTAGACGGTGCCTGGCACGCAGGACGAAGGCCCGGCTGGGTGGGAGCTCTGCGCAGCCCGCATGCTCACCTGAATCGCTCCCACGTTCTCCATGAGCTGGTCGGCGTTGGAGGCGCCCAGAAGCACGGAGCTGACGCCCTCGTTCCGCAGGCACCAGGCTGGGGCAGCAAGACCCGAGGTGAGGGCGGCGCCCTCCGCAAGGCCCTGTATGCCCCCCACTGGGCTGGAGACACCCAGCCTCTGGGTTCAGGGGGCCCGAGACGCTCAGCAGTGCTGGGGGGCTTTGCCCAAGGAGTAGCTGGAGTGGGTGCTGGGGGAGCCCTGGCCCACTGCCCTGGGTGTAGAGGTGGCCCGGGGGCTCAGGCCCCCATCCTCTCCCCATGAAGGTGGGGACCCCATTACCCATGGCTGGCTGATGGGGGGTGGCCAAGGCCCTCAGGGACCCCCATCATCTCCCCAAGGACATTGTCCCAACCCTGCCCCCAGAGCCCTGTTGCCCGTGGCCAGCAGGGATACTGTTCAGGGCTCCCTCACCTTTCTCCCCAGGGACGCTGGCCCCATGGTGACCCCGGCCCCATTCCCCATGGCCAGCCCAGGCCTTCGGGGACCCTGCCACCTCCCCGGCACACGAGCCCTCACCTATGGCCAGTTGGGGCAGGGTGCAGCCCAGGCGCTCGGCGATGGCCTGCAGCTCCTTCAGCTTCGCCTGCTGGCGCCGGCCCTCCTCGCTCAGGATCTTGTCCTTCAGCCACTGGTAGCCCTGGGTGGGGCAAAGCACAGCTCCAGGTGAGGGCAGGTCACCTGGACCCCGCGTGCAGGTGGCTGACAATCTGTGTTCCTTCCAGATCCTTCTCCCAACAGCGGCCCTGGTCTGGAAGCCAGGGCGGCAGCCTGCCCCAGGCCAGCCGTGCAGGGTGGGCAGGAGGAGAACGGTCCTGTCCACTCTCAAGTGCAGTCCGCGGGTGCTGACCCGCCGCTGAGCCAGGTAGAGGCGGTGAGCGCTGCCCTTCCCTTCTCCCAGGGAGCCTGGCGGCCGGGGAGACTGGCTGCTGCCTGTGGCCCAGAGGAACCCTCCCCTGGCCCTAGAGGGGTGCTGCCGCCCCTGGCCACACCCCAGGACTGCGGTGCCTCCTGGAGGGCGCCCTGCCCTGCCCTTGCTGTGCGCCGGGAGGAGGGGTGGGCCAGGCCATGCTGCCCGGGATCCCAGGACCAGGTCCAGGGCTGGGTCTGTCCTGCTGGGCAGGCCTTTCTCTGCCTGCTCCGTGTCCCCAAGCCCTGCAGTCTGGGACCCTCCAGACGTATGTGTGGGGGAGCGGTCACTTGTCCCAGGGTCACCGCTATGTAGCTCTGAAGCCCCCGAGGTCTCAGTGACAGCAGAGAGTGGGCAAGTATGTGGGATGGGGGTACCCCAAATGGCACCTGTGGACCCAGCCCACGATGTGCATACTAGGGTGGGGGCAGAGGTGGGGGTATAAGAAGGGGCCCCCTATCTGGGGTGCCAGGTCCCATGGAGTGGGCGGCCCCTCTGGGTGTGGGGTCAGGCCAGAAGGGGCTCCATGTTCTCATGCCACGGAACCCCAGGCGGAGGCGGCAAAGGCAGCTGTGGCCCAGGGAAGCCCCTGCCCAGCACCAAGCAGTCGGCCCAAAGGTCCCCCTGCCCCCCCAGATGCCTGTCCTCTGCCCATCCCCTCCCCCTCCCTGGCCACTCCCTCACCTTCAAGGAGGCTCTCGAGTAGGGTGGGATGCCGCTGTCATACTTCCCGGAAACGATGCCGCAGGCCAGAGGGGACCAGGTCATGGCGCCCACGCCTAGAGAGGAACACCCCACGGTCAAGGCCTGGGCCACGGGGGCGGGGCGGGGCGGGCAGGCGGCACCCACCTATCTTGTGGAACAGCTCGGGCAGCTGCACTTCCACCTTCTCGCGCTGGAACATGTGGTACTCGGCCTGCTCGCAGATGGGCGGGATCAGGTTGAACTGCCGGGCCACGGAGTAGGCCTCCTGCGGGGGGAAAAGGGGCCCAGATGGCCCCTGCTGGTCAGTGGCCCTGGGGAGCTGCAGGGCAGCAGGTGACAGGACACAAAGGCACCTCTGGGACATGGCTGGCCTGGCCCCTGGGACCCTCCCACTCCCCTGCACACAGCTTTCCTAGGAGCCAGCAAGGCCCAGGTGAGCTGGGAACAGGGGGTGCGTGGTGGGACCCCAAGGCTGAGGGTCTGGGGAAGCGCAGTGCAGCAGTGAGGCTGGGGTCTGGCACTGACTGGCTGAGTGGCCTTGGCTATGTTACTTAACCTCTCTGTGCACAGTGTCCACATCTGGAAAACAGGACGACAGCAGCACTACCTCATGAGGCATCGAGAGGATTAAATGGGACTTAGTCCCCACGAAGCCCTCAGATCTAACAGCACCTGGAACACCGCGCGCACCCGACGGTAATGGTGTCCTCGCTGCCGAGGGCTTCCCGAGCTCCGGGACCTCTGCTGAGAGCTTCCCCCCGGTTCTCTCAGAGAATCCTCAGAGCAGCCCCATGAGGGATCGTGCTGGCAGGCTTGTTCTACAGGAGGGAAACTGAGGCTCAGAGAGGTCAAGCCATCTGTCCGGGACCACGTGGTGCCGGGATCCACACCAAGACCCTGGTCTGCGAGGCCTACAGTCACAACCGCCGCACTCCCGCACGCGGTCTCTGCTCAGGACCCCGTTATCTGTGCAGTCGGGACCGCAGGCTCAGACTCTGCCAGGCCCTGGGGTCTCACGTGGCCGGGGCGAGCAGCCCACACCAGCGCATGCGCACACAGCGGCCCGTACCATGATCTCCATGGAGCTCCAGCGCGACGTGCCCCAGTACATGGCCATCCCCTGGTTGATGACGTGCGTCATGGCTCGTACGGTCTCTGTCACGAGAGAAGAAGCTGCAGGTGGGGGGCGTCCAAGGCACGGGGCCCAGCCTGGGGACTTGCTGCAAATACAGGCAGGACGCCGGGAGTGGGGAGAGGAGGCTGCAAGACGTCTTGCAAGCAGTGTACTTCCTGGCTCGGAACTTGGCGTGGGAGGGGTTTTCCGGGATGGAAGGGAAAAGCGAGCCGCAATCCAAGAAGGTGGTCTTGAAAACACTCTCCCCAGCTAGTTACAGGCCTTGCAGAATCCTTGAAAAATGGGTTATGGGTGGACTGTGATGAAGGCAAGGTGACATCAAAGACTGTGACTCTGACTCTGGAACTGGGGGGAAGAACCGGGGACCCCGACACTCAGGAAGGACCAGGTGAGTGGATTAAGGCTGCAGTTAAACTGGCAGAGGCAACAGGAAGGAAACGTGTTTTGCCTGTTTTCAGGTCTCCTGCTTCGGGCCGTTCCACACCCTCACCGGACGTGGGAACCCGGTGGAGAGGGAGTGACGGCATCTGGAGGGGCGGAGGCGGGCTGCGGGCTGCGCTCCTCTCGTGCCCAGGAGGGCCGGCGCAGGCACGGACAGCCTTGTGTGGACCATGGCCTGCGTTCTCAAACCAGTCCCCCTTCCCTGGCACGGGACGGTCCCAGGGCGACAGGGGACTGGCTGCTCTTCCTCTAAGGGGCCAAGGCCCAGGGCAGACAGCTGTGAGGAACAGCCTGGACCCTGGACAGCTGAGACTCACAATGCCCCAAGAACTAAATCACTGACACCCCATGACATCTTTTAAATAACAGAAACCCTTGCACCAATTACATGACAGATTCTTCCGAGTATTCAACAAAGTCTCTGAGACATAAAAATCTGCCAGCTATAGCCCCTCCCTCCGCTGTTTCAGCCTCATGGGAGTGATGGGGTTTTAAAAACAGAACTTGGCCTCAGATTCTCAAATTTCAAATGCCTCTCAGCTTTGCGGGGTGAGGGACAGTCCCACCAGAATCTCACGGTCGATACAGTGCTTGCAAGTTCAACTGCCACGGCAGTGTTGGCAGTAAAGTGGAGGAGCAAGTGTTTCTAAAAACAGTGCAGTAACATTGACCCTTGAAAATCCCCATCTCTCCCCAAGCGCCCTGCCCCTCATTTGTCACTGAGATGGGAAGCTGAGGTCCCTGAAGATGGCTGGGGGTGGGAGGGATGGGAAGGAACATGGAGAATGCTGGGTTTGTTTTGAAATTTCCAGTGCAGAATGGCAGCAAGGCCACAGGCCCCTTCCCCACACCGAGTGGCAGTGCTGGCTTCCCGCCCACCTGTTTTGGGGTGTCAATTACGATCCTTCGCAGGTCCCTGAGTGCCCCGTTGGCTGAGGTCCAGCCTGAGTGGGACCCAAGGCATCCTGAGGGCTGGAGCTAAGGGCAGCGGGGCTTCCTGGTGGTGGCCTGAGCAGGCTCTCCCAGGACGCTGGAAAGGCCACCTCGGCTTCCACGCCTGCAACCAGCCCTGGCCTCTGTGGCTCCCGGGAATCCTCCCTGCCCCCATGCATGGGTGGAGATCTGGGAGGGAGTCTGAACCTCTCTGGGGACACCTCCCTGGGCCGCCTGCTCCAACTGCCAGCACTGATATACCTTGAGGAGGAGGCCAGTGCCTGGCTGGGAAGGTCAGAGGAACACCTATAGGGTCCCAGGGGAATCCCTGACCCCATCCTAATCCCGGGCCGGGCTCCTGACCCGGGCGGTGGTCCTCGTTCAGTTGTTTTAGAAACACTCTTGGGGCGCCTGTGGCCATGCAGCACACCTTCCCGGTGCTTCTCAGCCAAGGCACAGGTCCACATGCCAGAGAGAGGGAAGCAGAGGCCCCCAAGGCCACCCGCTCCCTCGCCCTCCCCCTAGCCCACAGCTCTCTGGGACATGAAGATCCCAGCCGGGATCCCAGACTGTGTGGTGTCCTGTGTGCCCCTTCCATGCAGTGATGGCGCCACGGCCGGCGGGTCGGGGTCAGCTTGAGCCTCTGGCTGTCTGCAGGGGGAGGGGCCCAGGCAAAGGGTCCCGGGCAGAGGCAGGCCGGATGTAGGGCCCCATGCAGGGGCACGCTGCACCTCTGCCCAGGCCTGATGTTGGTGGCCCCAGACACAGGAACAGTTAGGGACAACTGTCCTTCGCCTCAATATTTAATGCTGCTGAACAGAAGCAGGAGGACCGAATCCTTCCAGCTGCTGCCAAAACTCCTGCTGCGTCACAAATAATACATGGGAGGGGTCGGGTGGCAGCACCAGCTGGCAGGCAGGAGCCCTTCCATCAGCGCTGTCCCAGGGAGACTGTGCTGGCCCTTGGGGTGGGGTCCTGGGGCCCTTAGCCAAGGGGAGGGCAGAGAGACCACGCACAGCCAGAGGCTGCCTCCAGTCTCAGAATCCTGCCAGCTCCTGCAGTTGTTCTTTTAGGGGGAAAATGACTTCATTTTGATGGAGAGGTCTGGCCACACAGAGGGGAAATGACCCACATGCTGTGGATGGTGGCCGTGCTGGCCGGGAGGAGGAGCTAAGACCTGCTGGGGGCTGAATGCTCTGGAGTCCCCGACAGGTGCGCTCCTGCAGAAACCTGGTCTCCCAACCCTTCCCAGGGCACCTTCATGGGTCAAGTTTCCAGGAGGGATCACAGCATCCTCCGACGCCAGCCGGCCACTGTGGGTCACAGCAATGCAAGCCCAGGGGTGGGGACCATGCACAGACGGAAAGGGATGAAATGACAGCATGGATCACGTGGGGACAAGGGGCTCCCGCACCACTGGGTTTTCCTTCCCTTGCAGGGCGTTCTCACAGGGAGCTCCCCGCCTTGTGCATTTTATGGAGAAGTTTGTCACGGGGCGAAAGAGTCGTGTAAGTTAAAACCACTGTCTCATAAAATGCAGCTGGGACGCAGAAGTCAGTAGCTGGGCTAAGGGTGCTGTGTACCTTCTATGATGAATGTCCTTGACTTGGAGGAACTAAATGGGTCCCCTGGTGACAAAAGAAAGATTTAAAGAGACCAGAGTTTACAGCTGTGGGACGCCGAGAGGTGTGGCGTGACAAGGCATGGGAAGGAGGCGAGAGCCACTTTGCATGGAATATCTGTTAAGTTAGAAAAAAACATATATACACACGTGTGCGGTATATATAAAAACAAATGAAGAAAAAATAACTTAAACACAACTTAATTTTCCAAGTCCCTGGAGCAGCGAAGCGCGAACGAGCAATGCCCGTAGCGGGAGCGGGGTGTGCCGAGATCGCGGGAGTCCAAAGAATAAAAACGCCAAAGAAACCAAAACTGCCCTCGGAAGCACTGAACATTTTTCTCCTCTACGTAGAAATTTATCCCCTAGAGCGACAAAGACCCCTGAAACCTCTCAGTGGAACGTGACTGAAAAGACCGCGGCGGCGGCAGAGTCATCGCACGGCGCCCTCCTCTAGCTACAGCACATGCAGCCGGAGCGGACAGCCGGAGGGGACAGCAGGCTGCCGGGTGCCAAGCGTGGGAGGCGGCGCGGGCTGGCGGGTCAGGCGAGGGCCTGGAGCGAGGTGGGGTGCGGGGATGACACGCAGAGGCCGAGCTCCCCCAGCACGGGGAAGGCCTGACTCCTTGTGTCCCCTGGGGCCTGGCCTCCTGTGATCACCCACCTGGGTGCCCAGCGGGGCCATGCCGGTGGCCACCGGAGCCTCAGGTTCAGACCCTTCATGGACCTGGCTCTGTCCTTCGAACCCGCCCAGGCCCCACCAGCCAGTGCTTCGCAGACCACCTACCTTCCATAGGTGTGTTGGGGTCCGGGCGGTTGGCAAAGACCACGTCCACATACTCCAACTGCAGCCGCTCCAGGGAAGCCTTCAGACCTGGGGAAGGACAGGGAGAGGCCGTCACTGCTGCCAACACATCTTCATAAACATTTCTGGGCCTTCCCTGTGCCCGGCTCGGGGGACAAGAGAAGGGAGGGAAGAAGCCCTGGCACCGGGGAGCTCCAGGATGGCTGGTGGCGCTTGTGAGCGTGCGGTCCCTCCCCTCAGGAGGACGTATGTGGGAACCACAGGCCAAATGTCCTGTGGCTGAGTGAAGGGGGATTCCCCCCAGGGAGCACAGCCTGCCTGGGGCCACCCTGTGGCCTCCTGGTGATCCGTGTAGCAAGCAGGAGAGCTACGTTATCACACGTGAAGGGAGGGCTATTCCTGTCGTCTGTCCCGTGAAAGGCCAATAGTGTCTAAAACGCACAAACGGCCACCTAGTACTTAGAACAGCCCAGGACAAATAGTCGACAGAGTGGGAGGTGGTCCCCTAATTGATTTTCAATAGACTGATGTTATTTTGAAGACAATACTCGTGACTAGGAAAGACATGAAGACGATAAAATGCAAGAAAAGCCGGGCGCGCAGCTGTCCCCCCGGGGTCCTCCCGGGTGTGGTGCCCGGGCTGTGTGCACGGCTTCTCCCGGCTTCTTCTGGATTCCTGGCAACCCCGCGGGGCGGTGCTCTTAGCTTACAGGTGCCGGGTGCCGCGGCAGAGGCTTGGGGAAGGGATGCGCACTACTTGGGAGGCTGGATCGACACCCAGGCTGTCTGTGTCCAGCCACAGTGCCGCCCTCATTCCTTGCAAGGTCCCGCTGGTGGCCAGGGCTGGGCCCTCTGCTGTGTGACTGGTGGGGTGGCACAGAGCCCATCCTCACCTTCTATTATGTGCTTCCTGGAAAGGCCCCTCTCGGTCTCCGCTCTGAAAGACAGGTGACGGCCGGCGATATTGCAAGTGGTTTTGGGGAAAATGTTTATGACGCAACATTAGGCAGGAGAAGCAGGTCAGCAAACGCCGTGTGTGGTCTGAGGCCACTTTGGGGGAAAGCAACGGAGCCACAGGGCTGAG